CCCCAAAACCCCAAAACCCCAAAACCCCTAAATATAAGATTATACTCAAATTTTAAGAACAATTAAAAATAATCCAAAATTCATAAGCAAAGGTAATATATAAAATCAAAAGCCTTATAACATCTATCAATCATTATTATAATTTAAGTAGATCAATATGCTCTTCAATATTTTATACTTTTTTGTCGAGTCCTTTCACAATTTTTTCCTGCTTTTTAAACGAATTTTTTAATCTCGATAAATTTTCATTTACTATTCTGTAGTTTTCCTCGTTATTTAACTTGATTTCATCTTTAAATTCTTCTAGCTTCTTGAATATCTTGGATGAAGAGGTATCCTATTTCTCAGTTAGTGAAACTTTTACTTTTTCCATTGTCTTCTTAATATCTTTAACAAAACCTTACCACTCGACATCTCCTTTTAGAATATTGTCTTTGACTCTTCTGAGAATGAAGTATCTTGGGAAATTAGAATCATTTTTCCCATATTTACTGTAGTGGAGCTCGCATTCATATATCAGCTTGGCTTTAGCCATATATGATTAAGCTACCATTCTTTGCATAATTTTTTCGTAGGATTGTGATATAACAGCAATAATAAAGTTCAGTAAAATGATATTTAGAAACAAGACAGATGATATCCAAATAAGCCATGCAAAAACAATATGAATTTCATCAAGCTAATTAAAATTGTCAACTTGAAAATCTCCAGTAGATGCTCTGAACGACATAACAAAATAGCCAAAATAACTAATGCCTTAATATTATAAATCAGCATCATCAGCTTTAATCATTAGAAGTGTAAATATTAATCCATAGAGAACAATGACTATACCATATAATGCAATAAAGAATTTAAGATCTACAAAAACTGCTCTAAGCATCTAAACTAAAAAACTGAATCCTTGGAAAATTCTTAGATATGAGAAAAACTTGACAAATACAAATATCAAGCAGATTGAATACAAAAGCCTTTCAACACCATCATGTATGTGCATTAAGTCTACAATAGTAGAAGCTATGTAAAGAAAAACCAAGAATATATCAATATAGTTCCAGTATTCTGCTAGGTAAGCCAGGAAACCTTGCACCTTAATTGTCCTTAGTTCATATTAGACAAGGAAAATGATGTAAGCAGCTCCAATAAATTTTACTATTAATTGCTGATAAAAATGCCTATCTTCTCCTACTAGAACCAAGTAGTAAATATCCACAATAAAGGTAATGAGAAAGATAAAGAATTGTAGAAATGATATTAAGTGGAACTTAAATGCGAATTTTTCCCACTTAAAACTCAAAGCAATTTAGATGAGTTCTGATTCAAAAAGATCTTCATTATTAGATTTGTCAAGTACTTCCATAAACCTGGGATCTGAAAACGACTGGGGTATCATTGGCAGGAGATATTCAATCTAATGAGTTATGCCATGAGTATTTTTAGAGATATACTTCTTGATTTCATCTTTATAAAAGTAGTTTATCTTTGCTAAGCTTGAGTTTTAGTCGAAGGATGATAGATATAATGTTTAGTCATCTTTAGAATATTGTGGATAGTAAGAAGTTTCAATTTTCAGTAATGGAAGTTTTGAGAGCAAGTAGTCTTTCAAGTCAAAGTTTTTTTCAATTAAATAGATAAGATTTTTATCCACGATTGAGTTAAATAAACTATTGTTTTAAAATCTGACCATAAGATCTAGAGCAAAATTAATCTTGGTATAGTCATCATGAATTACATAGTAATCAAATGGACTAAGACCTTGTTCATTATTAGTGAATAAGAGATAGTCGTATTAGTTCTATTGATTAGATAGTCTCTGTTTAATGGTATCTATAATAATGTCTGATTTACTTGATATAATATGTAACAGCGAACCATTAAAGGAGTCTATGTAGTTAGCTATCTCTCTAAATGTCATTTTCTTTATTTTAGAGATTGCAAATGAATCACTTTTCTTTTCGTCTACTAGTTCAATTTGATCTATTTGCAGCTGGAGGTCTTGAAGGAAAGAAGTGACTCCAATAGTCTAGTTATTGAAATCCTTTACGTGAATTAGACATTCCTCGAAATCGTAGGCGACATCGAATTAGCCATGATTAATCCTAAAATAGGACTCCAAGAATCCCTCAAAGATATAGTACATCTTTTTACCTTTCCTTTTTGGATTATCCATTGATAGTGTTAGCTAATCAAGTTGATAAGTAAGGGAGAATGCTTTTTTCTTATTTTATATTTAAATTTTACCCATAAATATCTTTTCTTGCAAATCAAAGATAAGGTATTATGTATAGAGATCTATAAACAAATATCTTTCTCTCACAATTAATGATTGACTTTCATTATACTTGTATACAATTTAATCCTACTTCTCAAATAACTAGATGTCTCTGGTATAATAATCTAAGCTCACCGAATTCAGGACATTAATTTATCCATTATTGATTTAGCAAAACTTCAGAAAGTATCTTTTTTGTTCAAGTTGTATGAATACAAACTCCTCTGGGTCAAACCTTACCAATGTTATAAAGCCATTCATAATGCAATGTTGTTTGTCATTAAACATATTATCAATTTCAAAAATCTTAGCTTGATTATTAATATCTAAGATGATCATTTATGAAAGACACTCTGAAAGATAAAGTCTCTTAATTTCATCTTTGTTCTCAAAAATTTTAAAACCAAAGAATTTTCCTTTTAACTTATCAAAGGCAACTAATTCAATTTAACAATAATTAGACTCTG